TTTTTTTTCGATGTCAGCTCAATCAGTTGATGAAAAATGTTTCAGGACTTCAAATGGCTTTTTGACTCAGGTCTGCAGTTTGTCTGAACTCCCACAAGAACACACTGGTGTTTGAAACGGCACTGAGTCTGTTTGATTTGATACGCCATAGCAATGAAAGGGGTCGGCAGAGGTGTTACGTTATCATCTGCAGAACAGCCAATCACGCCAGTGAATCTTGTCCTCCAGTAATGAGCTACTATTGTCCCACAGAGGGTGTGTAAATACAGTATGATCAGCAGGGTTCCCCAGTAATGGTCCAAAGTGTTCTTTTTTATATGTTAATAGAGTAGAGAGATACAGACCTACATGCGTAAAATGTTTATATGGACACATTATGCCATTTAGACACACTTACAGTATCAGTCGCAGATTGTGAGCATAATGATGAAAAAAACTACTTACAGACAGTTAATGTAAACTTTCTATTTCTTTATATAATAATTTGTTAAAGGCAAATTGCCAAGCAAATGGCAAAGAAAAAAAAGACCCACATTTCATTACCAGTTTTATAAAAGAAGTTTCTATCCATTTGCTGAATGTCACTAAGGAACTCATGAGAGCAAGAAGGCTCTCGCCGCACCTGATGCTAACTTCTCAAACACTAAAAACATTTACAGGGGTGCTAAATCAAGCGTAGTTGGAATGAGATTGCCAATTACCTTGAAGGCATGAAGAGCAGTAGGGTAAGAATTAAAACAAATCCCTCTGAAACACTGGGAGACCTTCGCTGGGAGACCACTGAGAGAGATGGCAGGGTTTGGCTGCTATATTTTATATGCTTTATTTTCTTATGTTGATATTTTTAATCCATTATAAATACATTTCTTAAAACAACCTCCGCTCTGTGGGGTTCTGCTTTTGTCTCTTCTTTGCTCTGATTTATTTGACCTTCTGAGCTGTTCAGATCTGTCATGCTAAATAGCCTGTGAATGCACTTTGCGTTTCGAGTTTTATTATTCAACCGGGAGGAGTACTCAGACGTTGCACCTGTTTTGTTGTGACATGAACACATGCAGAGAAGCAGTATGAGGATATATGGGTTTCTAGTTGGGTAAACATGACAATTGTTGAGTGAACCAGGAGGAACTGATGCATATAATGTATCTCTCATTTCTCTCCCATAACTACATTAACGTCTGCACACTTGTGAATCCTGCGTGGGTGGGAAGTCTAAGGGAGGCTAATGAGTTTAACAACTCACTCATGTGCTATATACGCATCTTCTCCCCTGTAGTCCATCTATCACTGTGATTTTTAGTGGATACTTCTGTCTCCTAAGGATAGTGAGTGAACACCACACAACACCCTGCATCTGATTTACAGTTTAATTCAGACTGCCTCTCTCTATCTCTCTCTCTCTCTCTCTCTCTCTCCTTTCTGAGTGCCTGTCTCACAATCTTTCCACTGCAGCATTAGAGATGACACATTTTTCAGTACGTCACCAACCTGCATATCGCACTGCATATCCACACACACACACACACATGCCCACCAACATAACTCTTACAAGAGTGACACACACATACAAACGCTCTCCGCCACCTGTATGTCACTGCTCTGTCAAGTTTATTTCATCGCGCTCATGCTTCTCCTTCTGCCTCTGGTGCTCCAGGTCCATAAATTAAATGCATCTCTACCCACCACTGCCTAGCTGCTTTTGGATTTATGGAGCCCATGATGAGCATTGAGTGCCTGCAGAGGTGTGTGAAAATCTACTTCACTCCTCGAGCTTACCCAGTTGTAGCACATAGCAATACCATTCTCCCTGTAGATGTTTGTTATTCTGCAAGGATTTAGGAATTATGGTGTACTGAGTCTGATGCATTTTGCCACGCTAACAGCTCACATCCCATACACTTGAAGAGTGACTTTTATTATCAGTGCATTCCACAAAATACATGTTTTGTTTTTTTTTACATTTTACTCACATAAAATTCACACAAAATAAAACTTTTGAGTGCGTAACAAGCTCTATGCCCAGTTCTGGGAAACCAAAACATGAAACCTGAGACATTTAGACATTTTCAGAACATCGTGGCTCTATAACACTGCATTCAGTATTATTTTATTGCCTTCCAATAGCAATTGCTGAATCTGTTCGTCCCATTTCCACTGTCAAAATTGCATCTCTTTGTCAAACAATTGCTTCCTCTTCTCTTGACAGCAGATTTCCCAAGGTTAACAGCGTGCATGTATACATCCGCCCCATAACAGCCACTAATGAGCACTGGATCCAAGGATACTGATTGAAAGACATAACAGACTATCAGAGGAAACTACCTAATACACAGTGAGGCTGGTGCACATTTTTAAGTGAGAGCTTTCCTATTGATTTGCTGGCAATTAATTGCAAAAGGCTTGTTGTTGTTGTTGTGTGCTCAAAGAAAAGGTATTCAGAGTGCAAGAATTCTCTCCAAGGTGAGATGCTGTCAAGGCTGTTATACAGCCTTTTGTTCACTGACAGTTGTTGTTGAACATATTGACCAAAACATCTTTACATTGTTTGTCTTTCAGAGAAATAAAATTGAGCTTCATTTACTTTGTGTTTCGTTCCCTCACTATTCATTCCTGCTTTGACTGATGGCCAACAGATGGGATAGCACTGATTACCTAGTTGTGTGTGTGGGTGGGTTTGAGTGGGTTTGAGTGAGTGTGTGTGCGTGTGTGTGTGCGTGCATGCGTGTGTATTTGTATGTGATCTCCCTCATGCACTTGCCTCCATGGGAAATCACAATGTGGGCATCTTGATTCATCAGCTGGGGGCCATCTCGTTGAATCATTACAAAAAAGCTGAACAGACGCAGTAGATGGCCAAGTCAAATTCCAGTTGAGGTGCAGCAGCCAGCATTCCTCGTCAGGTATTCACCACAAAAATGAAAGTAGTCAGCTTTAATGGTGGAAAATCGGTCAATGCAAAGCCACAGAAGTTGTTTTTCTTTTTCTATTTTATTTACATATAAAATAGTCATAAAACTCGGTTGTGTTGAATGTGTGCACGGAAAGTCTTTGATGACTTTGGATTAAAGTTCTAAAGATTAAAGCACACTTCAGTCACTTTCCATTATGATGCCATCTTTTTTATAGAGGATCATCTATCTCTGAGCAGATGCTTCGATGACAGCAGACAAACATTTTTAGGGTTCAAATTAGAATCAGTTCATTAATCATGTGCAACACGGACAGAACAGCATCTTACATGATTTTCTGCCTGCTAGTTGTGCAAAGAAAGTAAACCTGCAGGAAAAAGGTTTATATACTGTACCTTAGGTATATACTTAGTAGGTATACTTTGTTACCAGGTATGGTACCATTTCATGTTACTTTATACTTTTACTTCACAACAATATGTTGCAGTGTATAGAAATATTGTAGTTTTTTTTCTCCATTATAATTATTTGATAGCTATAATTACTGGTCTACTTTTCAGATTAATATTTTACAGAAAAACATATTGTGCTTATAAACCAAATTGTTAAAGCTTAAAGCAGTGGGTCCTATTGGCTTGTTATACCATAAAAGAAAGCAGTGTCTACAGACCTACAGTGTTTAGTTGGAGCCCTTTGTAATATTTCAGATGTGACTTTCAGTTCCCCGAAGACATTTCCCCTTTAAACCTTTCAGATGGTTTCATTTAATAACTGTTCAAGGCCCACCGAGGTAAAATTATCCAATATTTTACAAAAAAGTAGAAGTTAGAGGAAAGTAAAAGAAATTACACATTTTAGTAGCTTTTACTTCTATCTTCTTTCTTACCTGATTAATTATCTCATGAAACCTCAGATTTATCTTGTGACCCTTTGGAAGGGGGCCCGACCCTATGAGTTGGAAACCACTGGACTAAAATAACTCGTTGAATTGAAGCTGGAGTATTATATACAGTTATTTGTATTATCTGTATACAGATATACTGTATACAACCAGCCGCAACAGTAAAATGCTACATGCACATTGATGCATTAGAATTAACAGTGTAATAATGTCATATATAATAAGATCAGTCACAGGGGCCGTTTTCCTGCAGAACAAAAACTTTTACTTTTGATACTTGAAGTACATCTGGCTGATAATATGTCAGTACTTTACTGTAATATGCAGGACTTTTACTTGGAAAGAACTATTTTTACATTGCTGTATTGGTACTTTTAGGCTTACTGGGTACTTTTTCCACCACAGGTATTTTTATATTCATTTTGTGTTCCCCTACTAACAGGTACATTATGCATATCTCAGTTTTGGGATGACTGCAGTCAACCCCATTAAACCCTTTAAGCAAACAGACACATACCCTCTGAAGGCAACAGCTCCTTGTGGTTTGAGGAGAAAATGTCGGTTTTCAGATAAGGCCTCTTGAGTTCCTGTGTTAATTGGTCGTTAGAGCACAGAATTATCTTAATCCCTGAGTAAATGATTCATTACCTCGCAGATGAGAGGCCATGAAAAAGACACACAAATGACAGCTTTGGAAGTAAAATCTGTTTATCTGCCTCCCTGCAGGGGAAGTCAGGTTTTATTGATGCTGGGCAGCTAAATCATATTTCCTGGATCATTAACTGTTATTTTGCCTTTCTCTTGTTGCTCTCTATTGTTAGTCTACCTCACGCTAAGCATTACTTTTTGTTTACTGTTTAATATTTTCCTTCCTTGTGTTTTCTTTTTTTGTCATAGTTGTGGGTTGAATGACACCACTGTGGTGTAGTAGTATTACAGTTCAGCAGTGCTGGTAACGCTGTCTCTTACGTCTCTGTGGCTCATGTGGCCAGTTTCGCCTTCCACCTGTTACCATATTTAGCCTCTGGTCGACTGACACAGCATAAAGCATAGCCTGAGAAATTGTATTTACATTGCTATTCTTGCTACCGTGCCTACGTGTTGTAAGATCATGATCGTCTTTACTGGTAAATGTTATGTTATGTTCAGTACAGTACACTCTTTCCCAATTTCACTCATTTCACACCATGTTAGTGTAATCCTTATCCTCACATACTTTTATTCATCTTAAAAAATATCTTGCCTCAAAAAGTATATCACCTGTTTATACAAATACAAAATACACACAAATACAACCTAAGAACGCCTGGGTAACTAATAAATACTGGCCACCATCTCCCCAACTATAAACAGTCATTTGCTACATCTAGTGGGCATTACACAACATTACAGACACTACACGGTGAACTGCTGAATGCATGCATAGATAACTCAGCCTATTTTGTACCCTTGATGGTGAAATATTATATAATAGCAACATTCATCTGTGTGTTAGGCACTCTAAATTGTGAGTTGCAAATTGATGCTGTCGCCGACGCTGCTTTCAATCGAGCCAAACACAGATGCAACAATCAAATCAAATAGAACCAAGTTGTAGAGACCACATTAAACAAATGTGTCCCACTGATAAGATCAGCTGCTTTCATTGGTATGGAGCCTATCTTTCAGATGTCCACTGCATTCAGGCCAAATTCAGAGAGCAGTCCCTTGTAATTTTGATGAAGGGCTGTGCTGTTGTCCTCCCACTTCTGTCGAGCCACAGACAGCTGGGAACTCAGGCTGTCCAGAGTATCCTGCAGAAAACATATGTAAAAATGAGATGCAAGCTAAAATTTTCACTTAGAATCACCCAGTTGTCTGACTTTATACCACCCCCACCCCCCACCCTCCACCTTTAACTGTGATTAGTTTCAGGAGAGCTGATGAAGAAGAGACATAATTAGATTCTGTGTCATACCGAAAGAGAGAATGTTACATATTAACATCCTTGTGCTATAATCACAGGTTGAGTCCTCTAACAGGGCTCTAGGCTTGATCACTTATTTTTAAAGATCTGTGCACTAAAATTTTGCATGTACTTTCTGTGCTCAGCCAACTTGGGCCAATACTGACCCCGTTCCTCATCCACTGTGCTCTAATGGAAAATTCTGCTATTTCACAACCTGTGTCTTATTTTCCTGGTTTGACACAATATAATGTGCCTAAAGGTTAGCATAACACTGTATGACATTATTGTGGATATCATAGCCTAAAAACCATGTATACCCACAACAGAGCCCAGTAGAACAGTTGGGTGAGGCCTAAACTGTTTAAAAACTGTCTGTCCAGCAACTGTTATCTCCAAAGTGATGGTAGTGAGTACAACAACGTTATGTTAACGTATAGATTTATTGGACAAAACTCTGACCCGGGTCATAAACAAAGGATTCTCCTTCATGTGAGTAGTGGAGCAGCAGGAATGCTAATTACAACATTTTATGTACGTATATACATATAGTTATGTCTCTGTTTGACACAAGCTTCTGAAACAGCAAATTCTGATGACCCCCTGCTGTGCCCTTAAAGTCCCCTATATGTAGATAAATTATGTGTAGATTTTAGAATTTCTGACTTGTTGAAAGCGACTGTTAGTGGTATCAAAAAAAGAAATCGACTGGAACAATATTGATCTGGAGTGCACAATTCTACAGACAAAAAGCCATCTAAAGTCTTGAAAGAAGACGTTGAAAGAAGAAAAAGCAACTGGTATCAGACTGGTCTGGCATTTTAGACCAAGTCATCTGCTCAGCATAATGCAATTGAACAGTCACAACTAAGTCAGGCCTAAATAAAAAACACAGCCCACCTGTCTTGGCCAGTTGACACAGGGCTGGTCTCAGTGCCCTGCTCTGTGAGACCCAAGCACTTTTCAAGTTTTCATACCCTAATGTTCGCACAGCACCACACACCCAGGCACAGACCTGACCATTATGGGGAAAGGCTACTCCCTGTCCATCATTTCTGCTGAGCAAAAACCTTCAGATCACACAAGCCTGATCTCTCTGCACAGACATGGGGAAGCACCACACCACATTAAGTCACCCTAGAAAAGTGAACAAGGAACAGAGACTGAGGGAATGGCGTCTATCCTAATTGGCTTAGATCATGCAAGTTTACAGTGCAAGGGGCGTCAAGTAAAACCTGTGATGTTTGTGGCTACTTCTTCAAAGCTTTCTTTTAATCACTATGTATTCGTTTTCAATTGAATTGGCTTGTGTTTCTACTCACATGCAGGACCTTCTCGTAGTGCATTTCCATGTTGTCCAGCTTGTGTAGGAGGTCAGCGATGGTGGCGTCCTTGTCCCGTTCCATCTTCTCACGCTCTCTTTTTTCTTTCCTCAGTTCCTCCTGACACAGGGCTAGGCAGACAAATGTATACAGACATGCCTTCACTTTTAATTTGGGAATTAACTGCCACTCCTATGTTTTTATTCATTGAAGTATATACTTTGAAATTAGATGTATTCATACCAAGTTCTTCATTCAGTTGGCTGACCTCCTTCTCCAGTCTCTTCACCTTGTTGGTCAGCTCTGTCTGCATGGTTTTGAACTGGCGACTAAGGGCTGAGAATGACATTTGTGTCAATGATGTTGGACTTAGCCTTCTTTGCTGATTCACTTTGTAAGGCTAAAGCAGCAATCAGCTTAGGCACTCGACTAATTAGACTTTTTGTTCCTCAAAAATTAGCCTAACCTTGGCAAACACACCCCTTGTCCTCACTCCCAACGGGTTCCACACTTTATCTCAGGTTATTAAAAGAGAGACTAATTGTTGATTCATGCCGTCTGTACCGTACCAGAGTTGACGTCCCTGTGGTCCTGTCTCTCGTGCTGCAGCTTCTGCTCCATGTCTCTCATGCGTGTGCTCAGGTCAATTCTATCAGACTGGATCTTTCTTACAGACTCACACTGTAAAGCTGTGTTGATCACACAAACACATGCATGAATGAATGTACAGATGAGTGGTAGAATTTAGATTGTCTCAAGCAGAAGTAGAAATAGCCCGTAAAAACTACTCCAATTACAGTTATGTTGATAAACAAAAGCCTCATAGTAAAACATGCACAAGTATATAATTATGCTTTAACATGTAAGCGGTAATTGACAAGTCTTGCTCCCACTGGTCAGCAAATTAACAAGACCTACTTTACTTCAGTAATAGTGAATCTACAACAATGTAAAAATACTCCATTCCACATGAAAGTCCTGCATTCAAAATCTTACCCAAAGTACAGCAAAATATATTCAAGTACTAATGCAGAACCATGTTTACTTTGACTGGATTATTATTACTGATTTAATAAATGCTTTAAATGACATTTTACTGTTGTAGCTGGGCAAGGTGGAGCTTAACAATGGATTTATCTATTAAATATCATTATCATATTAGTAACTGTTAACTATGACTGTCAGAAAGTACAATATTGCCCTCTGAAATGTAATGGAGTAGAAGTAGAAAGTAGCATACAATAGATATATTTAAGTAGTTTAATTATCAATTAATTCGTTTATCAAGAGAGAATTAATCAAATGTTATTTTGATAATTAAATAATTGTATAAGTCATATAAAATGCAAATGCCAAAAGCTTGCTGGTTCCAATTTCCAACAGGATGTGGTGTTTTTTTTCTGTTTTATATAAAAATAAATTTGATATTTTTGAGTTTGGGGATGTTGCTCAACACAAGCAATTTGAAGCAATCCATGAAACTGACAGATCACATACAAACACACTAAATGATCAATAAGTTAACTGAAAAATGAACTGCAGCCCTAGAACATGGAACATCAGGCATTTTTAAGACAGAAGAGCGCAAGTATTTGTGCACTTTAAACTGAAATAGGTTATTTATGCTTAACAAAAGTCACCTTCAGTTTGACCCTGTAAGTAATGCATAGTAGTTTGGACTGTTTATAAATTAAAGCACACTCTATAGAAGAACTTAAAATAGCTGCTCACCAATTCGATCCTGTAGGATGGCTATATCCAGCATACTGCGCCTATACTTTGTCTCTAAGTCATTTTCACCTGCAACAAGACAATAATACTTAAAATTTAGTTTAGCAGCACAAAAGCAAGAAAAAAAATCCAAATCATTTGAGAAGAAAAGTTACTTTTTTCTGGACTCTTTTTTGTGGTCTTTTTTGTCTTTTTCTTTGGAGGCATGTTTGCTTGCTGTGAGGCTGCCCTGCTAGTCCTTTCGAGGCACACACACACAAACACACACACACACACACACACACAAGGCCTTCACTAAACACAGACAGGGATGAGTCTTTGTTGCTGGGCACTGGTTGCCAAAGTGAGTTGCCATGGCACTAACTGTCCAGCTTGGTTGAAAGCTGATTGACTTAGATAACGGCCAATCACAACATGACTGGGGTATCTCTGCCTTTTTAACTCATGCACACGGGCCATGAAATTGGATCCTTACTTTGAGAGAGACATGTCAAAGCGTCCTTTGTTGTCAGGGGTGACCATGGCCCGCACTGGGAGAATTCAGGGCTGCATTCAGCATCTCTTGAACGTTTTATGAATGCTGCACAGGCAGAGGCGCGCACCCGAGTACATTCATGGATCATGAACGCGCACAAGGAAGGCGTGGAATTTGGGTTTTGAGGGGGGGAGAGAGGGGGTAGCGAACGGAAGGGGACGTACAGGAAAGGAAAGGGCCGCACATACACGTCACGGGGGGAAACAGAAAAATACAAGGCAATGTTTAATTCCCACAATTATTTATTCTCCCTTGTTCTCGTAAGTGTGTGTCTGAGAGGCTTTCGCAGTTTTAAGCGCAACTTCCTCTCAGTCATCGGTGAGTGCTCTCTGTCGTCAGCCTCAGCCCGCAGAGGAGGGCTGACACTGTCACAGCCACTGAACTTCCCGTCAAGACACAGCACAGGCGAGAAGAGCTGCCGCTGACAAAAAAAGGGGAACGACATCGGGGCTTGTCGAGAGGAAAGGACGCACTCCGGTCTACAAGGCTTCTGGGCAGAGAAACTGTGCCATTGTCCTCCAGCTGAGGGCGAGTGGAGACAGGTCTGGTGCTCTGCTAATTAGCCTGCGTGGGTCCCTGCAGAGAGAGACAGCAGCGCAGCTAGCTGCAGCACAGAGCGACTTGCACAGGGTGTGAGTGATTGAGGGGCTTGTTTTAGCCACAATCGGGACATTTATCTGGCAAACTGATGGTAGGTTTACTAATGGGAGCATTTATCCGATAGTCATCCCTCCTTACGTCTACCCCCCGTCGAACCCTGGCTCGGATTCGCTACTCGGGCGCTGTCCTCGCCGGGGGGTGCCGGATCACCATCGCCCGGTCCAGCTAACTCCAGGCGGCGGTTCGGTCCCCCTCACCCCTGCCCTGTATCGCCTGTCTGCCGCTCTGGCCGACCCTAGCCGAGCCCGAACATGGCAGGGAACTTGAAGAAAGGCGGGGGGCTCATCGGAATGATGAAGGATGCCTTTCAGCCACACCACCACCACCTCCACTCCCATCACCAGCCTGGGGCCGTGGACAAAAAGACGGTGGAGAAATGCTGGAAACTGATGGACAAGGTTTGTGGTGATCGCCGTTAACGTTAGCCACAGCATTGGGTGCCTAGGGCGACTGCTAGCTAACCGCAGCTAACTAGCGATAAGCTAGCTAATCTTCGGCTGCTGCAGGTCTGGCGTTGCTAACGTTAAGTTAGCTAGTCAGCTGAGACGAAGAGTTAGTTAGCCAACGTTAGCTAATTTCCCAACCTGAACTATATTATGTTGTACCTTAAGTCTCACTCTACCTCGCACCACTTTAGAGACAGAGACTTTTATGACAGGGTAACATTAACGTTAGCCCACGGACAGAAAGGCTTTCTACAACACATATGCTTGCTAGTGCTGTGCCACTCTCTGCTAAATAGTTGTCATATCGTCTTACATCCAACTTGTTGGACCACGTTAAATACTATCGTAACCATTAACAAAGAAAACAGACGTGAATTAAGCGAATTTATGGCAATGTCCTGAAATTACAGGGGCTGCTAGCACAGTAACAGTCTCTCCTGTACATTGTTGCTGAAATGTCTACAGTCAACTGTCTGTCAGCTCTTGGAAACTGTAACAAAGCATTGAGGAAAAAATAAAGGAAACGCGCCCATTTAACTAGGCCAATTATTCTCTTTCGCAGGGAAGACTCATTTCACAGCTTCACTTCTCAGAAAAAAAACCTAGCTTTTTGACCCCCAGTTTCCTGTGAGATTCACACAGCAATATTAGTGTGAATAGGAAGACAAGACACTCTTTTGTGTCTCCTCTTCCTCTTTGAGGCCTTAGCGTAGAGCTCTGATGTTAAGTTCTTTTACAAAGCTATTATTAAGAAACCACATTCCAGTTTATTTTGCTCCATTAGCATCTGTGGTAGATTGTCCAGCTGGACTGTTGTCCACATTTTAGGAGGTGCTGTACCAAACACTTTTTTTTTTGTTTTTTGCTTTTTTTTGTTACAAGTGAATGTTCCACACTCTTCAGAAAGTTTGTGTCTGTCTGTCTGTACACCCTGAAGGGCAATCCAGTCAAGATGACTGTACAGATAACCTTTTGCCACTTAAACCACTTGCACAGTCAGGTTAGTTTTTGCACTTTACAGTATGAGAATAATTCACCACATTCATCTGACCCAGTCAAACAGTTGAGGGGCAGCACCAGCGAGGCAAAAAAAGAGTATCTTACCTTTTGAGGGCTATAAGACCAAAAGTATTTTTACAGCAGCAGATTATTTAAAATAGCAGCAGAAATATTGTTCAGCACTGTCTTAAGGACCTCACAGCCCAGCGTAAAGTAAAATAAAAAAAATTTCAGAAGCATGAGGTTAATTTCTCTCTTCAGAGTTGCCTACCTTGCCTATTCTTGAAGTGCTCGGCATAACAAAACTTAATGTTGAATCCTTGTGTTTAAGCATTTGACTTAATCACTAAATTTGTGATGCCCTGACCAAAGGTGTGGTTTTGGCAACCTGAATGAAGTTTAAACTGAAAATTAAACTTTATAGCATTAAAAGTTTAACCATTAGGTGTTGCATTACTGTCTCTGTTGTTGGGTTGCTAAATGCCTGAGGTCAATTAGCTATTTTGTAATCAAAAAACTGAAGTTGTATGTGGAAAATCGTCACCATCAGCCAAACTAGGAAATAGTGGCAATGATTAGTTTGCATATTTAACCAGACACTATGGCAGATTACCACCAGTGAATTTCAGTTCATCTCCTGTTCTAAGATGATGATGATGATGATGATATCAGTTTGGAGCTCTAGTACAGCTCAATGACACCAATTTCTAGGCTTGTCTGACCATGATAGCTCGGTGAAACTAGCTATACCTCTACCTGTTAATCATCATACCCACATTGGTGACGTTTTTCTCAAAAATCACCAAGATCTCCCGTCTTCATGTCGTGTCATGTCGATATGGGGGTGTATAGTTTTCATTGTTTCTCTTTCATTTTGAATTGCGTTACAGTTGCTGTGACTGGTTACAGTGTCTGGTAGACAAAATTGACATTCTGCCCTTTTGTGTAACCGCACTGATTTTTTTTTTGCCTTTTTATGTCTTTTGTGCCTAAACAAGTGTAGTAAGACAGCAGTCATTGCTGTGTCAAAAACATGGCTTTAATCTAATGACTTTTTTGACAGAAACATCACCAAACAGAACCGCAGTGGTACTGTTGAAGTGGTATCATGCAGTTATGAACTTTATGGAAGATAAATAGATAATTCAGTTGCATAAAATAGTTTATCATCAGACTTATCCATATTGTGAAAGTGAAAACTTTCAGGGGATTGAACAAATATTTGTTTGTCGATTTGCTAGACAGACGGCAGAATATATTTTCCAGGATCTGTCTCTGAGCTCTACAGAAACAAGGAAGCACAAAATTGCCTGTTTACAGCTAAAGTCTAACCATATTCAACCACGGCCAAATTTTCTTCAAGCTGGTTAACCTTTAAACAATTTGAACTTGATGTGGAAAAACCACCAGGTTCGTGCCAGGTGCAGAATCAGCCAGGAGAGACTGAGAGAAGAGAGAAAAAGATGAGTGGAATGTAGTTTTGCTTGGAGGCACTCAACATATTACTTCAAGGCGGTAGCCTTGATATACACTGTACACGAGTGCTCAGTTGTTGTGGCCTTGCATGCATGTACATGTGCTTGGCTGAAGTTTGGGTACAAGTGTTAGCGAGGTAGATGCTCTCAGACATAACCAGTGTAAACCTTCTGCACTTGGATGCCCGAAGAAGCGTAAGGAATGAAGGCACAGTGTTTGTTAATGACACTGTGGGCATTAGTTTTCAGTGCAGTTACCAATGTATTCAAATGAAAAATCGGCTCTTATCCAGATATCTACCACAAGCAAATTATCCAAAATACGCAAAGGGTACAAAGGGTACTATTCTTTTAGTGGCCCGCACACAATTCAGTAGAAGTTCTTCCAAGGCATCTTTAAGCTCTTCTTTCTCATTTTGTTGCATTTTAAAAGTTAAAAATATTTGATAAAGACTAAATGTAATTGCTGATCAATTTACCCTCAGTGTCGGTTGGAAGCTGACCTTTAATTTTCACAAACCAATGAAGCCCAACATGCTAAAAACAACATGCATGTTGTGAAAGCAATACTGCTTAAAATATCCTACCAGTCAAGTGTGACCTCATTCTTTTCGAGAGGCATTTGATACAGTGATGATGAACCGACTGGTCTGAGCGCAGTGGCCCATTTACTAACTGGGATCAAATATTCCTAATATGTTGCGCTCTCACTCTCTATATTTAGTGTGGTTTCCTTATGTCAGGTATCTTTTAATGTCGGGTACCTTAGATATGAATTGGAAGGGAATACTCTGTATGAGATTAATGACCAAAAATTAGATATAGGCCTACAACGATTGATTATTTTCATTACTGGCTCATCTGCCGTTCATTTTTTTTTAGATAAATTGGTTAATATTTTGGTTTATATGATGTCAAAAACTTGTTAAAAATGCCAAACACAATTTCCGAAGGGTTTAGAAAATGACATCAAATAGCTTATTTTGTCAGAATAAAAACAATACTATCACATAAAACAAAGAAGATCAGTAAAAATCCAAACAAATGAGAAGCTGTACCTAATGAATGTTTTTTTTCCTTCAAAAATGACTTTATGTATCATCAGAATTTTTTATTATTTTTCCATCCACGTGCTGATCGATTAATCTCTAATTGGACATAAATCCATGAATGGTCAAGAAATTTAGTAGAACTGAAATCTTATTTTCCTGTAATGACAAACCGATGGCTTCCAAAAAAGAATAGGCAAGGAAATTCAAACCGACATTCTTGTAATGCTATTCCTGCCATATTTCTTTCTAACACTCAGACATGATTAGTAGACAATAATTTGGCCTGGTCTACAAAAGAATGAGCCATGTCCTGTTGTTGACATGCAATTGTTTGGTCACCATTGAGGCTGACAGCCCAGCTCCATATCAGCACTGGTTCAAATCAGGACATGAGGTACCATGAGACCCCCGAATTTTTGAATGGAAGTGTAGGTCTTTGCCGCTGTGATCAGACAAGTTAGACTTGAATCCAGTGGTAAATATGACAGCAACCATGTCCATACAGAGCTTAATGACAGAGTGTTCTAGGCTCCCCGCCAGTGTCTTTTGTAATGGTCAACGAAGTGACTCAGACGCAGTGCAGCAGTACAGTGAGATGGGTGAGGAAAGGTTGAACATTACAGAGGATGAAGCATGCATTCATACAGTCTGACTCGAGCATGTAGTTGATTTCCGCATGAACTGACCATCAACAGGGGTGGTCCAAATTTACATGTTTTATAAAGCTATCTAATAGAAGATTATCCCCTTGCCCACCAAATACAATAGTCTCCTTCTGTTGAGTCAATGATTGATGTTAGTTAAGCTTTTTGCCTGGTAGTATTTTAGTCTCTTTTAGTCTTTAGTTTATTTTGCGGTATGTCTCTGTAGTTGAAGCTCATACACACATCATTATCACAGCCAGTGCTTCAGCTGCTCAAACGTGCAAAGTGATCATATTCAAATGTTGAGTAAACAGAATTGAGGTAGAAGTGATCTCGGATGTGCAGACTGAAATGGGGAAGTGTAAACATATCAACAGCTTCTCTAAACATGCGAAAGGAGTGGCGAATTGGACTGTGGTGAGCCATGGTTATTGACAAGTTAGTCGCATAATAAGTTGCAAGCATTCCTGTGCACATCTACAAAAAGATGTCTGTGTGCTAAATTAATAAGAAATGGAGATTATTTACCGACATTCATTCCCGCTTCATCCCCGCTGGGATGAATGTCGGTATGCCGTTGTCCTCTTTCACGTCCATCTTTAGGTAAAGGAAGTAGTATGACAATAGTGGAATAAAGCAAGATGCTATAAGGGATTGAGTCAGTGATACTCCATTACATAATGTGTAGACTTGCCACACTCTGAAAGCTCCAAGCTTGACAGAGCTTTTAAGGTCCTACATGTACTTTCTTTCAGTCTTAAACTTTGTTGGCATTTTCCATTTTGCATGTGTCCTATCAGGGCTCACAGACAATATTCTGCACTGACGATAAGTGGTTTAATACGGAAAAGAGCCATATCATGCAAAGCTCTGTCTTACTAGCGTACAGAATGAAAACGCATAGTGACACTTAAGACAATTCTCAGATTTTTTTTCTGTTGCTTTCCTTTAACCCTTCTCTCACCACTTTCTTTCTTACACATCTGTCTTGCTTTTCTCTCATCTGCCTTCCCTCGTGCACCCACCTCTTGTCTGTAACTGTATCTTGTCTCCTCGCTCACATCTTCCCTTTCTGCAGGTGGTGCGCCTGTGCCAAAACCCCAAATTGGCTCTGAAGAACAGCCCCCCTTACATCCTGGATCTGCTGCCAGACACCTACCAGCACCTGCGCACCATCTTGTCTCGCTACGAAGGCAAAATGGAAACATTGGGGGACAACGAGTACTTCCGGGTTTTCATGGAGAACCTAACCAAGAAGACCAAGCAGACCATCAGCTTGTTCAAGGAGGGCAAAGAACGCATGTATGAAGAGAACTCACAACCCAGGTGAGTCAAGTGGATAAAAACTGTGGCATTGAGCTTAATATTAATTGAGTGGATATGATTCTACATGTGACTGATGTGAAGAATGGCGCAATTTGGTTTCTCTGTTCTCTTCCTGAGCCGTTGAGTTGATTTCCCTTAATGAAATGGTCTCATACAGGTGAATTGGAGGTGTGAAATCTTCATAATACAGCAGTTCATTCTTAATAACTATGACTGCACAGGCACAGAGTGAACAACTGCACTCATTCCTAACACCCAGGGTGGTTGTAGCTCAAGATGTATGAAAACAAGAGGAGAGAGGTGTTGTGGTTTGAGCATGTGAGCCTATGTGGTCAGAATGGCGCTTAATCTACAGCTGCCTGACTGCATGTCACTTTGTTTTTGTGCCTTACTATCTTTACCATCTACTTGAACATTTTCTCTTTTCTTAGCTGTCTTACTGTTGTGCTTTCTTTTTTGAAATCGCACATTTCCTCCTTTTCTGTCTTTCTTTCCTCTTACGTTTAGTAATCTTTATCTGTCCCACTGAAAACAGCCACAAGTGTACAGTCTGTAATAAAAATAAGTAGCTTTCTGTTTTAATGTGTGGAGAGACTTGTGTAAGCGTATAAGATGTTCCTCTTGTTTCCCTTGTTTAAAAAAACAGCAAATAAGAAAGGGCATATTTTTGAAGACAAAAGATACCACAGAAGACCCCAAGACAAAATGGAGCTTTTTAAGTTACTGTTGTGTTAATGTTAATGAGGTCTAGACTAGCTGCTGGATGGAGCTGTTCTTACCTCCTTGTCTATATCCCTACAGATGCCCTTTATTTCACCGTATGCTTTGAGCAAATGCTTTCAATCATAGTTGAAACAGGAATCATGAACAGCATTTAATGAAATAGTGTGACAGCCTTCATTATGTGTCTGTAGCTTGGGAGTGTTTCATATAAGATGTGAGCCAGTATTAAATACCATCCCAGTAAGGGCTTTCTTCAGAATTGCCCCTGGATCAGTTGTTTCTCTTGCTGGCACTGAACAAGATGACGTGCAAATGATTTTTAAAAACCCTTTGTGTTGTCCAGACGGTCCACACTTTATGTCTGGCTGCTGCTAGTTGCTGCTCTGCAGGAGCTTTTAGATTGGTTTGTTGGACAATGACACTGAGCGGATGTGGAAATGGGTGGACAGAAACTATTGCCTGAGGGTAGAATTTTATAGCAAAATAAGAACGTAAAATTGGGTTCATTCATGTGACAAGTGTAATTACTTTATTTTTTTCTTCATTTAATGTATATTTTTTTTTTCAGTGACATCCTTAACAAACCTGATCAAAAGCAGTTTACTCAGCTTAGTTATTTGAGCTACCATGTGGTCTTTGGAATATACATATATATATATATATATATATAGGTATAGATTAGGCCTGCATTGGAAAAAACTAACATTGTAGCATGACATGTTTGAGTTCATTTGTCCTACTTGACACTGCACATCCAGTGATATGACTATTGTGCATGTTCAAATTGCAATGATGTTGCTGAAATGATATATTATAATGGGCCAGTCTTACAGACTCATCTGAAAATTCAAGTATACTTTGACTAGCAGGATAAGTGTACAAGACTAAATTGAACCAGTGTAGTCTAAATTTCTACCTCTTGAAGTTGGCACCCCCATATGATTAAAGTTTTAAGCGTAGGCGTCAGCACCCAATTAACGTCCAAGTGACTCCAAAGTGGTGACTCATTTGTTTGGCCATCGTTTGTGCAAGCAAAACAAACCTTTCTGCTTCATTGATTCTCAAGTTATGAGCATTACACGTCAGCTAAATAAATTGCAGTGATTTGAGAAATAATGAAGCACAGGTTTTGTTTTGCCTGCACAAATGTGCACAAGTTATGTACAAACGAGTGAGACCAGTTTGGAGTCATTTGGGTGTTAATGGAGTGCTGACATAACAGGGCTATGCTTAAAATTTATATTATTGTAAATTTATATATTTATGTATATAAATTATACATATAATAAATATTTAATTTCTCAAAAAAACCTCTCAATCAATCTTTACACAAGTACAGATGTCAGTTATTCTGTACACAGTCATTCTAAATGTGTGTGAAACTAATTGTTTAATTACACATCCAGCCCGAGTAATTAATGTGAAATATGTAGGTATTACGGCAGTGTATGGAATAGGCTGCACAGCTGTGTTAATGCATAGCCTAACAGGATTAACAAGTAACTGTTTAGCTTGGCTTATTACATTCACTTCACCATGGGCATTTGGAAACTTTCACTTTCTTTAACTCAATTTTGGTACTTATGTTCATTTCTGCTGCCTTTGGCAAAGAAGTTAGTAAAAGACTTTCCATTAGGAGAGGTAGGTGGGTTTAACTCATCATTATATGCCACTCCTCTCAAGTGAATTGGCCAGCTGCTACACACACACTAGTAAACGGCCTAGGACTGCTAAATGGTGACATCACTGTGCATGCGTACATGTATTTGTTTGTGGGTGTGTGGCAGGGGGGTTTTTGTTTCATACCAGCCCCAGTCGGCATGAAACAGTATGGAAAGTATAAATTGCACTGGTTTTACTTGTTGTTGTGAATATTAATGAAACGTGAAATTTCATCATCAGCTGTTTGAGCAGCCAAAATAAGAGTGATCACGGCCAAATATGACCAGGGAGTTTACCTATGAGGGCAAATCATTGAAGAAGAACATGGTTGACCTCTAGTTTTTAAAGCACTAGAGCCTCAACTTTGCGACAATACAAGAGTCAGCATGCAGTAGATTAGCTCACAAAATAGTCCTCTGTGGATTAACACTTTCTGGTGTTGATGTGTGTCCTCTTACAGACTGATGTCATGACATGGATATTTATCTCAAGTCTTTTCAAAAAAATGTTGAAAAGCCTACAGTTCTTTTTGTTTAACCTGAATGACAAAATTAGTTCATAGTTTTATCTAGCCAGTTTTAAGTAATACCTCCTTGTGTTGTTGCTCAGTTCCTCAGTGTGACTGTTCTTTCTCAGCTACCATGACGGTAATCTTGCAGACAGAAAAACCCCACTAAGGCAACCTGAAAGAAGAGGAAGCATATATCTCATCACCCCCTGTATCTACCATGATAAAGTTTTTTTTAAATCCATTTTAACCATTTTTTCTGTGAAACTCATTTTCATCATCACTTCATTGCACCATGAGGCTGTGCAGAAACAAAGTCTTGGTTAAAGCAGAGGAAACACACACACACACACACACACACACACACAGTAGCCAGACATTACACACAAAGACTGCTTTTGTCTGTGTGGAGAAGGCAGTGGCAGTGACACTAACCAATGGGTATTAGGCCCACTTAAGAATGCTATAGAATCAACCAATGACGTTGAGCCACTAGAGAGACTAGTATGTGGTTAGGCTGCAGCTGAGCTCAGCACATGGCTTAGACGGAAAAGTTCAACTGTAAGGATAAAGATAATCTGCCTGAATGCAGAAAGAATAGTTTGATAGAACACTGCTTTCACTGTGTTCTTCACTTCAGCCTGAATTAAAATGTGAGCCTACTGACACTTATTATTTCCACCGCTGTGACTTCAATCAGTATCAGTACTTGATAATTATTCACTTAAATTAAGATAAATGGCTATTTTCAAGTCAGAGTGAAAGATCCGAGTGTGTCATGAGAGCCCTGAATACAGCGTGGGTGTATATGCTATATTGTGATGTCATACAGACTTCTCCACGTGGTCTTCCCCAGAGATTTAGATCCTCTATTTATCCAGCCCCCCTCTCCCATATGAATCACACAGATTGTTTAGCTTGAGAAATGAAGTAGAGTTGAGGTAGTGCAATATAACCCTGGGTTTATTTTTGTTGAGCAACAATTAAAAGCTTGGTCTTGACTGGTGTAAGGTGTAATGTATTTACTGTGTTTTTACAAACTTAAAGAGAGAGAGAGGAAGAAGAGTGCATATGAAAGTGACTATTGTGAGCAAGATTTAATTATTAACACTGACAGCCCATATTCAGTCAGAATCAACACACACAGTCAGCACTTCCTTCTTGTTTGCTTCACTTACTTCCTCTTCTGGCTTACACAGCACAGGCGAGACACTTTCTGGCCTCAGAGCTGGTGAAGATCCACACAGGAATGAGTTAGTTTTAATCAACACTTTTTTTTACTCATCACCAAAGCATTGCCTATTCTGAGAATAGAGTGAGTAATCTCAAAAAGAGGTTCAAATCTAAACCAATTTACCCTATAAAATTGTTCACTTTAGTTAGGCCAGAGCTCGAACTGAAACAATTAATGGATTCATTGATTAGTTGATCAACATTTTCACACAAAAGTGTAAGTATTTTCTGCTTTTGTCAGTTTCATATCACTCTTAACCGAATATATTCAGGTTTTGAACTATTAGTTAGACATAACATGTCATTTGAAGATATGTATTTTTTATTATTTTTTTTTTACAATTTTCTGTCATTTTTACAAAATAGCAGCTTAATCACCAATGAAAATGATCACGTTTGAAGGGATACATCAAACAATTATTTTCATTACTAAATAATCTTCCAGTTATGTTTCTTGATTTGAGTAATTATTATAACTCCAACCAAATTACATTTTTTTTTTTTTTTTTTACTGTTTCTGTGGTCTATTAATGTTTTGCAGTTTTCCAGAGTCAAAGGTGATGTTTTGTCCAACCCATCGTCCAGAATCCAAAGATACTCTATTTACTATCATATATGATGAAGAAGAAAAAATCAGTCCAGCTCTAGACATTTTCACATGGCACACACTAAATCCTGGCAGGCATTTAGTTATGGCTGGCTCACTTGTCTACTACTCTATAAGCCTCATAGTAGAGATGGATGGTTGTTCAATGCAAGATTTTATTTGACCTCTGCATTAACTGAATCGACCAGTGAGTTGTGAATGTGGTCTCTTGATGAAAAGGTTTGCTAATTAGGTTTGGTTAATTGTTCTGTGTTGAGAAATTAGTCC